TCACCACCATCTTCCATCGATCCATCCTCAGAGCAGAACTGGTGCATGGACCTTACTAGGCCTCTCTGCCATCGACGCCACCATGATGCCAGATAGCATCGCCCTCCTGCGCGAGTCCATCAACCTGCATCGGACGCCGAGCCTCCACTGCGCCACGCCGCTGAGACCCGCTACCATCGATGCAGAAGATGAAAACCCGCTCGGCCTCTGGGCCCTTCCAATCAGCACCTGCTCAAAAACAATGCCCTCAAGAGGGAACACGGCACCATAGTTTATGTCATCATCCGACCTGCGAGACCCAGATCCAGAGTTTCCCCTGAAGCAGATGCCTTATGAAGCAAGAGGGGCACGTCAATTGCACCTGGCCACGAACACGAGCCATGCCCACAACCACACAAGCTCTCTCGACGTCGCCTTTAAGAAGGACACGACGCCATGAGTGCCAACACTGCCCTAGGGTTTTTACCCGAGAAACCGTGGAGTGGGAAAAGGTGGGGCGGCCCCAAACGCCGTCTCAAGGAAGAGAAACGGCACCCTCGGGCGCCGTCATCGTCGCGGCCGGCCGGGGCCGACCAGGGAATTATCCCAATCCGAATCCCCACCTCCTGCTCCGCCCCATCCGGTGACCGGCAAGCAATACAACCATGTCCGTTATGACGAAGTGCATGACGCAAGTATTGGAGGGAGAAGCAGCTAGATGCCGTTGGCCGCCGAGGCAACAAGCCGCAGCACCAACCCGCCGGTGGATCGTCGGCTAACCGACCCGATCCCCGGCAGCCCGCCCGCCCCACCACGCCACCGGACATGGAGGTCCACCTCAGGGCCGCCGCCCCGGATCCAAGGCCCTCCATCCTAGATCAGGAGGAGGAGCGCCAGCACTACCACCATAGCCGTCGATAGGACGCCGGTCAGCCGCCACACCGCCGAAGTCCAGATCGGCGCCGCTGCAGCCCAGTCGTGATCACACCCTCTATACATTGACACACACCGCGCCGCCCCACACCTCTATTCTACGCCGCCACCTGTAGGACGACAAGTCTGTTTGACAACGAAGGACCACAAGTGTGCTTTCATGGTCAGCACCCTCACTGAAAAAGAAAAGAAAGCTCTGCTGCAGAGACTAGAGGCGCCAGCTGAGCACAAGTTATAATAGTAGGCACCAGGCAGTGCCAATAGCTGGTCGATGGATGTCCTGATCAGTGCCTCCAAACGTTGCTACCGAAGGTCGAAGGAAGCAAACTGAACAGAAGCTTGAATAGATGTAGCAGGCAGAGGTGATAGCTGGTCATGACCTATGGGTGTATTTTTTTAGAAAAGGAGGATGTACCCCGGCCTTGCATCTGGGTGATGCATGCAGCTATATTATTAATTATTCACAAAGACCTTACAAGGTAATACATCAATAAGGCTGAAGTCACATCTTGGCAACGTCTGTTGCTACTCCAATCCTTTGATGAAGGGATGCCGAATATCCGAGCCTACTACTAAGCAGACATCACAGCAAAGCCTAACATCTAAAGACGGATGCCCCATCCAAGCCATTACCTAGACTGGATATCACACCAGCCCGGCACACTCCCAGTGAGCACCGCACGCTGCAAGGGCCGTCACCACCATCTTCCATCGATCCATCCTCAGAGCAGAACTGGTGCATCGACCTTACTAGGCCTCTCTGCCATCGACGCCACCATGATGCCAGATAGCATCGCCCTCCTGCGCGAGTCCATCAACCTGCATCGGACGCTGAGCCTCCACTGCGCAACGCCGCCGAGACCCGCTACCATCGATGCAGAAGATGAAAACCCGCTCCGCCTCTGGGCCCTTCCAATCAGCACCTACTCAAAAACGATGCCCTCAAGAGGGAACACAGCACCATAGTTTCTGTCATCATCCGACCTGCGAGACCCAGATCCAGAGTTTCCCCCGAAGTAGATGCCTCCTGAAGGAAGAGGGGCATGTCAATTGCACCTGGCCACGAACACGAGCCATGCCCACAACCACACAAGCTTTCTCGACATCGCCTTTCAGAAGGACACGATGCCATGAGCGCTGACACTGCCCTAGGGTTTATACCCGAGAAACCGTGGAGTGGGAAAAGGTGGGGCAGCCCCAAACGACGTCTCAAGGAAGAGAAACGGCACCCTCGGGCGCCGTCATCGTCGCGGCCGGCCGGGGCCGACCAGGGAATTATCCCAATCCGAATCCCCACCTCCCGCTCCGCCCCATCCGGTGACCGGCAAGCAATACAACCATGTCCGTTATGACGAAGTGCATGACGCAAGTATTGGAGGGAGAAGCAGCTAGATGCCGTTGGTCGCCGAGGCAACAAGCCGCAGCACCAACCCGCCGGTGGATCGTCGGCCAACCGACCCGATCCCCGGCAGCCCGCCCGCCCCACCACGCCACCGGACATGGAGGTCCACCTCGGGGCCGCCGCCCCGGATCCAAGGCCCTCTGTCCTAGATCAGGAGGAGGAGCGCCAGCACTACCACCATAGCCGCCGATAGGACGCCGGTCAGCCGCCACACCGCCGAAGTCCAGATCGGCGCCGCTGCAGCCCAGTCGTGATCACACCCTCTATAGATTGACACACACCGCGCCGCCCCACACCTCTATTCTACGCCGCCACCTGTAGGACGACAAGTCTGTTTGACAACGAAGGACCACAAGTGTGCTTTCATGGTTAGCACCCTCACTGAAAAAGAAAAGAAAGCTCTGCTGCAGAGACTAGAGGCGCCAGCTGAGCACAAGTTATAATAGTAGGCACCAGGCAGTGCCAATAGCTGGTCGATGGATGTCCTGATCAGTGCCTCCATGAAGAGGAAGGGAAACTTTGCTACTGAAGGTCGAAGGAAGCAAACTGAACAGAAGCTTGAATAGATGTAGCAGGCAGAGGTGATAGCTGGTCATGACCTACGGGTGTATTTTTTAGAAAAGGAGGATGTACCCCGGCCTTGCATCTGGGTGATGCATGCAGCTATATTATTAATTATTCACAAAGACCTTACAAGGTAATACATCAATAAGGCTGAAGTCACATCTTGGCAACGTCTGTTGCTACTCCAATCCTTTGATGAAGGGATGCCGAATATCCGAGCCTAATACTAAGCAGACATCACAGCAAAGCCTAACATCTAAAGACGGATGCCCCATCCAAGCCATTACCTAGACTGGATCACACACCAGCCATCACACTCCCAGTGAGCACCGCACGCTGCAAGGGCCGTCACCACCATCTTCCATCGATCCATCCTCAGAGGAGAACTGGTGCATCGACCTTACTAGGCCTCTCTGCCATCGACGCCACCATGATGCCAGATAGCATCGCCCTCCTGCGCCAGTCCATCAACCCGCATCGGACACTGAGCCTCCACTGCGCCACGCCGCCGAGACCCGCTACCATCGATGCAGAAGATGAAAACCCGCTCCGCCTCTGGGCCCTTCCAATCAGCACCTGCTCAAAAACGATGCCCTCAAGAGGGAACACGGCACCATAGTTTCTGTCATCATCCGGCCTGCGAGACCCAGATCCAGAGTTTCCCCCGAAGCAGATGCCTCCTGAAGGAAGAGGGGCACGTCAATTGCACCTGGCCACGAACACGAGCCATGCCCACAACCACACAAGCTCTCTCGACGTCGCCTTTAAGAAGGACACGACGCCATGAGTGCCGACACTGCCCTAGGGTTTTTACCCGAGAAACCGTGGAGTGGGAAAAGGTGGGGCGGCCCCAAACGCCATCTCAAGGAAGAGAAACGGCACCCTCGGGCGCCGTCATCGTCGCGGCCGGCCGGGGCCGACCAGGGAATTATCCCAATCCGAATCCCCACCTCCCGCTCCGCCCCATCCGGTGACCGGCAAGCAATACAACCATGTCCGTTATGACGAAGTGCATGACACAAGTATTGGAGGGAGAAGCAGCTAGATGCCGTTGGCCGCCGAGGCAACAAGCCGCAGCACCAACCCGCCGGTGGATCGTCGGCCAACCGACCCGATCCCCGGCAGCCCGCCCGCCCCACCACGCCACCGGACATGGAGGTCCACCTCGGGGCCGCCGCCCCGGATCCAAGGCCCTCCGTCCTAGATCAGGAGGAGGAGCGCCAGCACTACCACCATAGCCGCCGATAGGACGCCGGCCAGCCGCCACACCGCCGAAGTCCAGATCGGCGCCGCTGCAGCCCAGTCGGGATCACACCCTCTATAGATTGACACACACCGCGCCGCCCCACACCTCTATTCTACGCTGCCACCTGTAGGACGACAAGTCTGTTTGACAACGAAGGACCACAAGTGTGCTTTCATGGTCAGCACCCTCACTGAAAAAGAAAAGAAAGCTCTGCTGCAGAGACTAGAGGCGCCAGCTGAGCACAAGTTATAATAGTAGGCACCAGGCAGTGCCAATAGCTGGTCGATGGATGTCCTAATCAGTGCCTCCATGAAGAGGAAGGGAAACTTTGGTACTGAAGGTCGAAGGAAGCAAACTGAACAGAAGCTTGAATAGATGTACTCCCTCCGTTCGGAATTACTTGTCGCAAAAATGGATGTATCTAGAACTAATAGTACTAATAGTTCTAGATACATCCATTTTCGAGACAAGTAATTTCGAACGGAGGGAGTAGCAGGCAGAGGTGATAGCTGGTCGTGACCTACGGGTGTATGTGACCAACCGTTGTATTTGTAGAGATTAGGTAATTATATGTCAATCTGTAGAGAGGAATATAGTAACTGTGATGTACGTAGCTGCAAATATTTTACCGAATGTCCAAACCACGGGTCAGGAGATTTCAGAACCAGGGTTACAGCTTGCATATGTTTATCCTCTTTTTCGAAAAAGAAGAAGTGAAAACTATGGCTTCTCGCAACAAAAATAAGACAAACAAGCAACTACGAATACTCCCTCCATCATACAAGTACAAGCTATACAGATTCAGAAGACATATTTTTTTCAAAAAAGGAAAACAGATTCAGGTGAAGTCTATGTCGATAAGAGGCTCCCTCCATATTAAGAGGCAAACGGGGACTGCGGAAAGTCTATGTCGATAAGAGGCTCCTCCATGTTGATGTCATCTAAATACCTGTGGCCGTCTTCGGCGAACATCGGGCAGGCTTCTTCAAGAATTTTGGCAGCCGACCCGACAGAATATACGCTGTTGTCGCCTACGACGCCTCGGACGAAACCGGGCCCGGGGTTCTCCGCGGCCGGCGGGTATCCGCCGTTGTTGCCTCCAACGAACATCGGGTCTCTGGAGACCACCGAATCTCCGCCGTTGGGACGTCCGACGAGCGTCTGGTATTCCACGAACACCGGATTCTGCATAGCACTGTCGTCGGAGCGCGTCGGATAGTCGTTGCTGTCAGAGTCCATCAAGTTCTCGAGGCGCTTCAAAGCACCGTGGTTTGGGTCCTTGATTGTATGACTACTGCTCTCGGTCTCGTCCAGGTCCAGAAAGTTTGGTACTCCATTGCTGCCCTCCCCCACCTCAGGGTGCCCCGGTTGAACTAAAGGTACTACGCCGTTGAAGTCGCCAATTTGAATTCCATAGCCGTTGTCGACTCCAGTGGGGGCCACCGGGTAGTCGTCCTCAACACCTGGTGGCTGCTCGGGCTGAACTTCTGATATGACGGGCTCAATGGTATCTTCTTGTATAGTGTCGAAGAACTCGCACGGGTCCCCGGCCTTGTCATCAGAGAGCACAGCACTGTTGCGGCCCGTGTCGGGCCTTTCCTGACGCAGAGCAGAAGGAGCCTCCGGGTGGCCGTCATCCGCATTTCTCTTCTCGCCAGAGCTGGAAGCCGAGCTCACGGGCATTGGGCACTCGCTCTCTGCTCCCTCGACCTTTGACAAGAAGCCAACCTCAAGGAACGCTCCAAGGAGGACTTGTAGACGGCGTTTTGCCTCACCGTGGACCACTGATGAATCATTCGCCGACTGCTTATGAAAAAGAGAAAATTTAGCATCGTCATGTCACTCTATTTCCCACTATTACGGAAAACAATTCTCATTTTGCACAGTTAATTTAGATAAAGACTTAACTCACCTTGGACGCCCTTTCCCAGACATGACCGTGGACATTAGTAAACCCGATTGTGTATAGTGCGCTAAAATCCTGGCATGCACAAATAAACATAAATGATTAGAATGCATATCTTCTTTTATTTTCAAGGAACCGGCAGGAGCACTGCCTTTTCATTTCAGACAAAAAAAAAGTATTTGTACAGAGGTATCAGGTTTGCATATCTTCTTTTTTGCAGTGCTAGATGATGGATCGGCGCACACAGCCAACATTTTTATCCAAGAGACAGGACTTTCAACACCCGGGTGTCCCTACACCCTCTATGAACAGTAAATTTTGAAATATAAAATAAAAACAAAATTAAAAAATCTGAAACTTTGGGACATCAAACTTTCGATGATTTTGCATAGTTTTAGCTACAGATACCATTCGAGGAGTCCTCGCATAAAAAACAAAATCACTGTTCAAAGTTTATGTGTACTTTTGAGCAGATGTTTTGTTTTTTCGTGAGGGCTCCACGAATGTTATTTGTGACTGAAACTTTGCAAAAATATCAAATCTTTGATACCTAAAAGTTTCTGGATTTTTTTAAATAAACTTCATATTCATGAGGGTGTAGGGGCACCCACAAGCTATTACACCTTTCACTTTTATCCAATGTACATCTTGTGCCAAAAGGCAAAACAACGAGAATGTCTAATACTGTACGTAATAGCAGGATGATGCATGTAAAATGCATTCGATATCTCAAAACATGATAAAAAAGATTTTTGTTAAAAATGTCGGCATACACATGTCAACATGTACATCTTAAACATAGTTAAACTTGGTATGAGGGTGCCCAGAAGTTGAGGCCTCCTTTGATTTACATGAATTTTGTAGGAAATTTTCTCTGGAGCCTTTTGGTTGGTAAGAATTGAATCCTATTCTAGGTTAGGGCATCTCCAATGCCGATCCTTAAACGGCCCGCATACGTCTGGACGGCGCAGGATCGGACCTGTTGAGCCATCCAATGCGGGCCTGTATCGGTCCTCCGAGCGGTCCGGACGTGTTTTCCCTGCAATCATGAGACAAACTCAGGAGGGGGGAGGGGGGCCTTGCGGGCCACGTCCGCCTCTGATTGCCCTGGCCCACCAAACACCCTTCTCCCTAGTCCGTGTTTGTTTCAGCCTGGCGCCAGCTACCCACATTCATGCCGTTGTAGAGCGGCCGCTCCGCATTGACGCCGGCCCAAAGCGAACGCGGCCTCTCACTGGTACCGGCATTGAAGTGGCACGCTAGCCGAGAGCGCCGCCTGCTGCACGCCCGGCTGAGCACATCTCCTCGTCGCATTCAAATGGCAACATACTGCCTGCCTTCCTCCAATAAACTCGGGCGTATGCCGAGAAACCTACTCCGGCCACACGTTCTTTCACGAGCCGCCCGTCATTAAATAGAACGTTGGTTGGCTTCTTGCGCCCACCCACTATTTAAACGATGCCAGATGCCGGGCAAAAATTGCACCACACTCCGCTCCCATCTCTTCCTTGCACAATTTTCTCCACAATCTCCATGGCATCTGGCGAGCAGGAAGAGGAGTTCTCAGGCATAAAAGCCGGTTGGGTGGCCCGTCGAGCCCGCTGGTTATGAGTCAGGCAATTGTCTGCTCGACCTCCGTCGACGCTCTAGGCCGTTGTAGGCCAACTCGCGGCGGCTAAAACTCCAAGCCAGCGCATGGTTATGCAACTCGCCGCTCCAAGCCAGCTCTTCAAGGAGTGACGAGTTGCTCCAGGCCAGCATGCGTGGGGAGCACAGCGGCATGTGCATCGTGGCAACCGTGGACGACGTCGTCTTACCCCCCCTATTGTGCCGGTGGCTGCACAATCCGTTGTCAACGTTCCTGTAACCGCGCCCTGCCGGCAGAGAAAGAAGCCGACTACACGGAGATCGACGGGCCGATGGCTCGCACGGCCGTTCGCGCCGCCATCATCGAGAAGTAGAACATGGGAGCCCGATGTCGCTTCAGTCTTGTGAAGGCTACCACCGAGGCGACGCTGGCGTACACAACCGTTGTCTTGCCCGGTCGCAGGCCACCATCGTCCACCGCACCAAAAGCCAACCCTGATGTGTGCAGCTTAGGGCACCCTTCCCCTCCAGCTTTAGCATCCCCCGGCGGTTCCACTCCGATGAGCTGCACTACTGAACATGGGGAAGCGAGCCGCACTTTGCACTAAAGCATATACCTCCGGGAATCACGACAGTCTGATGAGCGGGCTGCTAGACATGGGGACGACAATGGAGGTCCGCCGTGGTTGGCCATAGACTAGTCAAGGGTATCCATGTCGTGGGAATGGATATCCACCAGTGTCGGTCGTAGACTAGTTTTACCTTAGTCCAGTATCGATTTTAGTTAAAAGGTGTTCAAAATGTAATGAATTTTGTTCGGTTTATATTAAATCCGCCGCGTTTGCATGAATTTCACCCGATTAGTTCAAACAGCGGTTGAAATGTATGTGGGTAGCGTT